CCCGAACATATTATAAAAAACACACCCATCCGCGTTCATTTAAAAAGTAAATTAGATTAAGAGCTTCCGTTTGGATATTTTAAGATTTAAATAAAATAAACAGTTAAAATCAGCGTTGGCTCTGTTCATCCCCCTAACTCCCCACCCTGCCGGCTAATTATTAATTAACACGGCAGGGTAGGACAACCCTTGACTAATTGTCTGTTTGTCTCGTTATTATAATTCAGTTATACGGGTAACGGTAATATTTAAAAAAAGAAAAGATTTGAGGGTACTTGTAAAAATGCGTTGTTTGTTTTGGGTCGTAGCTAATTGATATTCAGATGAGCGCGCGTCCTTCCTGAGTGCAGACGCGTGTGAAGTAGGGGTGGACATTTAACAAAACAAAGTATCTTCACAAACAAAAAGTCTAAATAGAATTCGGTAATCAGCTAAAATTATTATATGGGTTTGCGCTGTTGTGTTCTTGAATACACTTATTTGAAATGAATAATGAAAAGAGAAATGCTTGAGTATATTCAATAGCAGCACAGAAGTATGGAACTTCTTTTACGTTACTTACCCATAATAAGCCCCGAGCTCCGAGGCTCCGGCTCGAAGTGCAGGTGTAGGAACGGGGTGGTTTTTAGTCAGTAAGAGTCTGACACTCCCTCCCACCTAATCCAGGCGGGAGAAGTCATTCCATGATTTTCCCCCCTTAAAAAAAACCCATAATCAGTAGAAATGATAAAACACCTATAAATAAATTTTCCTCTTCGTTAACTTAAAACGGCGAACTGTACTTTCATTTGGTACAGCCTGCGTTATGATGATGATAAGAAATAATCGTAAGAACCAAACTCGAGGAAAAGTGGCCTCTATAACCTAAACATAAAAAGCCTCCCCTTGGAACCCTATAAAAATCAAGTAGCCTCATAGCCTACGAAGTAACTGCTACTTACTGATCACAAAATAACGTTAACAAAATTATATTTTCACAACGTCAGTTAAACTTTACGAGTGTTTAAAACTCGGCTGGCATCACAAGGGTGCAATCGTAAAACTATGAGGGCTCAAAATTGATGTCGCCCATCTGTCACTGGTCCGTGCAAATCAATTTTAACTTGAACAAACTTAATTATAGGCATACAAAAGGCCCTCGTCTTTGTCCCAAGTTCTCTTTCACTCGGGATCACATAACTTCAGTCGTTCGTTCACTCCCTCGTTCATTCCTCGATTGTACGATAGCTTCTGTTGACATAGTCTAATTCTGACGTCATCAATCAGTTTGAATTGTTATTGAAGCCCTTTGATAGACTTTAATTAGGGTACTAAGTTTTAGTGCTGAAAGTGTCGGAATTTTAATATTGGAAACAAATCCGAGAAGAAACGATGGAAGGTTTAGGATTTGGAAGAGAAAAAAAATATCTGCATGCCTACTGTCCAACATGATAATAACATAAAGCATACACTGTGACGTCGACAGGCTCTAATCTACAGATAATTTATCCTTTAAAAGAATCTAAACCAAAACACCAGTCATCAGAAGAAATTACTTCAACCCAGGTACATTTCTCTAGTAAAACACAATAACACAAAAACAAAAGCCATTGTACAGGCACTGAGCGTGATGCATCAGCTCGGCATCAAAGTCCAGTCAATCACGCGGCGGTATCACAACCGCACTCACGTTACTACAGCAGCACTGAGGCGCTTTCAATTACCTGCCCCGGGTGTGAACGTCGGAAGGTGCCAACACGCGACCCGCTGAAAGTGTACTGAACCCACAGGAGAGACCGGAACGCCATATTGAAAGGCTTGGGCTGCGAAACTTGTGTCGAGCGCCTGTCAGATTTGATAGAGCAATTGTGAGGATTGGAAACATGAATGTTTAGTAAATTGTGTAGGAGTTAACAGTGTGTTTGTATCAATGACGTGTGTGGCTTACAATGTTAGTAAGTTTGCATGACTGTATTAATCTTTAGTAGTAGTAGTAACTAATTCTAGAGACACACTGATATGCCTATATTCAGCACTGGACGGAAACATGTTTTTATAAGTACCTATACCAACTGTTGCAATCGATATAAATCGAGATAGCTGAAATAAATGAAAGTTGTTATCAAATAAAATATATCGAACCGATCGAGCCCGCCTAACTTCAATACCCGTACGTTTCCCCATCAAGTTGTACATTACAAAAAGTATTGTTCTTTTAGTTTCCCCAGCTATGAGCGATAATACCTGCTATGATTGTTCATGGCACGTAAATTGAAATCAGGTTTGAAATTAAAAAGTTTAATTCGAACTAAATTAGGGTTTGTGCTTACCGTGTTCCTGGATTGAAGCTCACGTTCTACTTAATTACGAGAACAATTGAACGTAGGTAATGTTTAGTACGAATAGAATTTAGTAAGCACTGCCAACATTCATTTAAATTACGTTGCGTGGAATTATTTCAATTAGGGTAGGTACTACTTACGACAACTATTAAGGCAATGTGGATTTAAATATGTACTAACAAACAAGCTTAACTCGTCGAGTACCGGTTTTGTAGACACAATTATAGAACAATAGGTTGCGGTCACCGGTGACCGCTTGGTGTTTGACAGTTTAAATAAACAGTAGCAGTATGTCATCTCATTAGCACCAGCATAAGCATCATCAAGCACTCTTGCCGTACAAATTCACAGCCGGATTATAGACCTCCTCTGCATCACGAGATTGGCTATAGTCTTCAGTCTTGGCAAGTGGATTGGAGATTACAGACATTACAGTTTAAATATTCCATGCCTAGTTTCTATTTTAGGTTTAAAAGTTTAGGACTTTAAGTGGATTTGGCATAAGCCGGTAAACGAGCAGACGGATCTCCTGATGGTAAGCAATCGACGCCACTCATGGACACCTGAAACACCAAGGCGATATAAATGCGTTACCGGCCTTTTGGGGATTGGGAATTTGAGTACTATGGAGGATTCGGGGTTTGGTAAGACTGGTAAGAAGGTTGGGGTAATTGGGCCTCCGGTAACTTCACTCACACGACGAAACACAACGCAAGCGTTGCTTCACGTCGGTTTTCTGTGAGGCCGTGGTATCACTCCGGTCGAGCCGGCCCATTCGTGCCGAAGCATAACTCTGCTACACTTAAAACAGCACACGTAAAAAGAGCATAAATATGTATAATTATCATAAAAAATATAATTAATCCACTTCCACAGCCCCAAAACACACCAAACGTTGTAAACAAAGAGTATTTGAAAACTAATTAATTCGTAAACAAATTTCGATAGATGTGCATTGATTGGTCGATGCGGCAAACTCATTACGAGCCGTAGTGCACCGCAGATATCTAGGAACGATGACGTCACAATACCTAGTATTATTAGCTTTAGATTTTGATGGGCATTTCATTGTTCGAGCTAGATATCTGTGTTATTAATTCTGTTTGTAATTTGATGAATAAGGTACAAGTTTGTTGGGTGTGTAATTATTGATGGTTGGTTTCAGTTTAAGTTAGCTACAGCAGATTTTTTAGGATAATTCCCTAGCCCGGCTGACAGAAAACAGTCTCGAGTTTGATATCCGAGTACAACAAAGCAATAGGTACCTAGATTTTTTGGAAAACAAACAGTTCTATGAAGAATTCTCTACAATAAAGGGTTGAGATGGGTAAAAGGTTTTCTGTTTCCCTAAAATTCTCACTCTGCCTGCTGCCTCGTTGGCCGAGTGGTCGCAAGTGCGACTACCGGGCAAGAGGTCGTTCAATTCCCGCGTCGGGCAAAGTATTACTGGGTGTTTAAAAATTCTCAGTAGTAGCACGGAGTCTGGAATTGTGCCCGGTATATGGTAATAGGCACACCCTCTATTACATGGGACTCATAACATAAGTAGTGAAAAGTTGGTGTTACATTGTACAGTGGTAAAAAATGTACACCTCTGCCTACTTCTTCGAGGATAAAAGGCGTGATGTTATGTTATGTTAAAATTCTCAGTAGGTAATAGCACGGCGTTCGAAATTGCACCTATAGTCTAGAAAAAGCCTTTTAAGGATTTATTTAGAAAAATGACGTCTAATCATAAATCACAATTGAATAAAAAACCTTCTTTAATTATCACACACAAGCACATACTACCTACTGCCGTCACGCAAGCAATCACGGGTGACACAACATGTTTATCTCATGTTCCCGATAAACTGTGCTTTTGTAACAGAACTGCCGCCATTAATTATTCCTGTGACACTTTGACAGTTGAAATATAACGTCGCGACTGTTCACTGCCATGTGCTAATAAAACTGCTTTACTTGTTATAGGCTGTTTACGTGCGTGCGACTTTTTAATCGTGGACAATTGGCGATTGAATGGTAGGAAGTTTTGTTCATTTTATTTTTTTATTTATATCAATTATATGCTGTATCTAGACTACCTCGTTGGCCGAGTGGTTTGCAACTACTAAACCACGAGATTCCCGGGTCGGGCAAAGTATTACTAGGTTTTAAAAAAAATGTCAGTAGTAGCACGGAGTCTGGAATTGTGCCCGGTACCTATATTACATGGGACTCATAACATAAATAGTGAAAAGTGGGTGTTACATTGTACAGTGGCATAATGAATTTATTTATTTATTTTAAGCTTCATGCACAAAATGTACACAAGGTGGACTTAATGCCGCAGGCATTCTCTCCCAGTCTGACCTTTGGGTGATGCAGAGAAAAGTTAATGGTGTGAGCAAGAAGCAAGCAATTATTTAATAGAGCAAATAAAATAGATACACTTACATATTTCAGAGATAAACATAAATACTTAAACATAATTATAATATATGTACCTACACACGAGTACAACACAATACACATGCATGCATTCATACACATATACATACATACAGTTTTGGAAAGTCATATTAAAATTTTAGTACAGAAAAATGAACTGCTACTTAAAAATACTATGGAGAAAAGTTCAGCACAGAATAATACAGAGTTATTACAGCCAAATTCGGTAAATACATCGTTTGTAGATGTTCAGGCGTAAACGCCTGTTCTAATTGAAAGAGCAAATAGTTGTAAA